TGTTGTTGGCGACCGGTGGATTTGGCCAGCCACACGCCAAACAGACTGCTCTCTACGAGCCTTTTGGCCACGGGGTGTTTTTTAGTTGTGTAATTCTAGCCTTATCGGGAGTAAAAGTAATTTTCTTACGGAAACGGGCTTCCTTTCAGATTGTTGCTATGGCCTGCATCAATCTTGCGTCGAAAATCGAAGAGGCACCTCGTCGTATAAGGGACGTGATCAACGTGTTTCATCATTTGCGTCAGTTACGAGCAAAAAGGTAAGATTAGCTTCGTTATGAACATAAGCATCTGTTCTCACTAATGTACACTGCAGTTTTCAATTCACAGTGTTTTTGCAGGCTAAGCTCAACGACCTAAAATTGAGCAGGGAGTGCTCATTGGCTGCTATGTAGGCAGTACAGTTCAATGCTGACTTCTTCTACCGTTACTTATGATGACTTGGTAGACTCGTTTTCATCATTTGTATAGCTACAAGTCATAAGTATTGGTTCTAGTTTTAGGTCCATGGTTGTAGTTTTAGGTCTTCTGCTAATTTATTTTTGATGTCTTGTAGTTCCTGAAAGGTAGTTTTAGGTCTGAGTAGCCAGTTAGTGGGTTGCTGTATATTCTCCAGACTTTTAACCACGTTCAGTAGTCTTAATGTTTTTCTCTTGTTAGCATGTAGCCATCCCAGTGTGGTTGTGGTGCTAATCAAGTATTAGTTAACAAAGGATGAAAGCTGAACTTTTCTGAGTGGTGATAGTATTACCTTTTAGGAAAAGCAATTTTAGAAGGCATCTGAAAAAAAGTATGGTTTGGCCTACAGTGTTTGCAGCTTTAATGACACCGCTTCAACAAGGACTGTGTAATTGAGTCTTGGAAGCTGAAGGCATCTTTAATTGCAAAAAGTGAGACTTGTGTTTTTCATGGTACCGTGTGCTTGTGTTGGTGAAGTTGAAGTGCAAGCTTACCCGATCTGTGTGCAGATCTGGATAATTGTCTGCTAAGTTGTAGAGCTGCTCTCAGTTGTGAGTGCCTAATACCGCTTTTTTGTGTGTAAAGTGATGTATGTTCTCGTGTAAAGCAAATTAACTGGATGGAAGGAACAAGGAATGGTTGAAGGGAAGGAGTTTTCTAAGTTGCTATTAAACGCAAAATTTCTTTAACTCTGTCATGCAGCAGTGTTGTAGTCTGTGAAATTGGAGACGTCAGCTGTGATGAAGTAGCTTTACTTTTAGTGGCCGATTGCTTACAGTGTAAGGTAATCCCATAGTTACAAAAGGATTTTGTTTTCAGCTAGATTCTTAAATTCACACTTTCATTTTTCTGCTTTGTAGCACCAGGTTACAGCAGGAGTTTAAACTTGGGTGTTGTGTAACCTTTTCTGAGAAGTATAGCAGAAACCCCTTAGGGAAGCCAGCTGTTTCTTGGTGTCTTTATCCTGGTTATGCTTCTGTGGCATCTAAAAGTTGCTTTTAGTGCCTCGTGCCTATGTTTTCCTAGCTAGCTTTCAATAAGAATGATTTGGTGTTCTACTTTAGGACTTAGCTTTGTTGTTGTTTTTTTTTTTAAATGTTGTTATTCCTTGTGGCCCTGAGAGAGTTTTGTGAGGTTATGCCGAATATGAATTCAGTGGTATTGCTTCTTACCACAGTTATGATAAGGGAGTCTGGTTATTGGAATTATTGAAGCTGGTTCAGTGATTCTTAATATCTTGGCCTTGATCCAGACAGTGAAGGCTAATTAATCACATGCAATGCTTTTCTTTGCAATAAGAATACAAATTAGGTGTTTCTTTGTGTTGTGCGGAGGATCAGAGAAACTGAACTTAACCTGTGAACTTAAATCTTTGCAGCTAGCCTGTTCCAAATCAGAATGTCACTTGTGCATGTAACATGGTGTCTAAAATGCATCATGTCAAGAGAAATCGTGCACTTCTACCCATTATTTTCTGGAGAGATGGGTATTGTTACTCTGAGATTCTGAGTGAATCTGCATGAAATTAATCTTAAAGATGCTGAAGTCTGACATTCAGGCTTACCTTCTTTTTTTTTTTAACAAGCAGGATGTAAACATTTTTCTGTACTTTTTACAAGATTACAATTACATGATATCTGTACACGTTATTAACTTCAACTCTTTTTTCCCTTGCAACCGACTATACAGCGACCAGCTACATTTACCAAAGCCTGGGTGATGTGGAGTGGTACATAAAGATGAAGCTGTCGTCATGGCAACAGTGAGTGAAGTATCGAAAATCCCCAAGGAGAAGCCAGTGCTCTGAGAATAGGTCACTGGAATCGGGGGACTAACAGGTTGGCCGCTGGTGAACCATTTGGAAGAACTCCTGTATCTTGTTATAAGCTTTTTTCTTTGCTGTCCAGGTTTTTAGAATACTAGCTTAATCTTTTTTTTTTTTTAATCTGAAGCTAACACTTAGGCTGTAGTTAGTTTCTCACACACAACCCAGAACTGAAACAGTTAGGCTGCTGTACTTTCTTTTTTGCCTCTAGTCTAGTATTTCTGTTAACTGAAGCTCTTAACCTGCACATGAAGTTTTGAGTAGTTTGAGTAGGCTTTCTTTCTTTCTTAAACAGCTTTGGGTTCTTAGTTCCACTTTCTGGCTCTGTATAATTGCAGTTTGAATACGTAGTAAAACATGCCTTCACAAGGATACAGAAATCTTGAATTTGTAAAGCTATTTTATATAAATGTAAGCAGTTCCTTATGCGTATGTGTTTGCAGAATTGGGAATTGCATTGGAATTTTCTTGTTGTAAGATTTAGTCAACTGAGTTACTGCCAGGTGGTATTGCTAATACTGAGAAGTAAGAAAAAGCTAAAGTGTTTTGGGCAAGCATATTTTCTTCTGAATCTTTCACAAGCATATGTCATGTAGTACTGCATGTAAAAATGTTTGTGTGCATGGAGAAAAGCTCATATAAATACTGCGTTTTAAAAAATTGTCTACCGAAACATCTGTGTTCTGAGCAAAGTGCAACTGTTGTTTAACATGTAGAATGTAGTTTGAAGTTGATTTTATTTATCTTAAATGTGCCTGAAAGCTGCAGAAAGTCCTTATGAGACTGGCACCAAATGTGATTCCTGTCATGTAATCTCACAAATGTTGGTTTGAGATGCTCAGTGGGCTATTCTTCACTTCTGTTGCAGCAGACAGGTTCATGCAGTTGTGTTGGAAGTGGCCTGTATTAATAATACACACTATTTAGTGTTCTTCAAACTGTTCTATAAATCTACAATGCTTGTATTTACAATGTTGGAGACAAATACAGAACCCACTTACTTTTCTCTCATATTGCCTGGCATAAGAAAGATCTGGTTTGAAATGAGGTGCTGATGTTATGCTGTACTTGTCAGAAGTACTTTCTGTATTATGAGCAAAACTACAAGCAGGGCACTTCTCCTCTAAAGTATTAGATATGCCAAAGACAAAAATTTTAATATTACATCAAATGAAGCTGTAGTTGTGTCGAGAACTTAGGTTTCCTTTTTGTCAGAGGGATTTTAAAAAGGATATTTATAATTTATTTATCATTACAAACACATTAGTGTGTGTTAACCTTTTGGGTTGTTACGCAATCTCTAAATCCTGATAAAGTTTCATGACTTAAGTGTGGGGTTGACTTACCAGGATGGGCATGGTTTGCTCTCTATTCTTACGTCTAAAGTCATGCCTGGAGCTCTAGTGCTCATCTCTAAGAACAGATTCGAGTAATAATTTGTAATACTACTTGGCTATATAGGGCTTGAAGCTTATATTTTATATATAAGCTTATAAATTATTTTTCTCTGGTTTGTTACTTGGAACTAAAATGATTACTACTTGGACTGAAAAATAAGTGCAGCAACAGCAGTAGCAATATTCCCCTTTTTTCTTTTCTCAGTAAGAAAGCTTAAGTTTTCCAGAGGGAAATCTCTGAAGTTTCCAACTTCTAAATAATTGTGTATACCAAGGCTTTGGAGCTTATGGCAAAAGTACTGAAATAGGTTCCTCACTATATTAACATTTACCAGACTTTTGCCAGTAAGAAGGTGCTATAAAGTCTTCTGCAGATTTTTATTTTTGCGTAAGGGGATAAAAGGCTGCATTTGTGTTTCTGTTTCTGGAAATGCTGTCTGGATAAAATGATGGTTTTCATGGCTTGCTTGGATCTCTAGAACTTCTGTATCGTAAGTGACTGGAGTAACGTGGGACAACAGAGTAAAGCACACTTGAGTGTCTTAATTTTGAATTTGCTGTCGCTTTGCTGTTGAACATGTACAACCACAGCATGAACTGTTTGTGCTGATTCTACGGCCCAGGACAGTGAAAGGAAGTGAAGGACAGTGAAAAGTTAAAATGCAGTAAGGCTCACAGTCTTTCCTGTTGCACTTCTGGCTGCCTTATTGTGTTTTCATAATGCTGACTTTCTTATGTAGCTTTCAGAGAAGGCAAAGACATCTGGAAGATAGCAGTCCTATGGCAGGCTATTTGATGATTTCATGCAGTCATGTTGTCCTGCTGTTGATTTTTTTTTTTTTTTTTTAGACTGGAATTCATAGCTATTCTAACTGCTTCATCCCCAATTTGTCACCTCTGAGAAGTATTTTGTGAAGAAGATATGCTGAGCTTGAGTTCAGGCACTTGAACTCGCTCTGAATGATGCCTTGGAGATCCTATTAATGCCAGTGATCTCTAGATAAAATTATATAAAGCAGTATTGGAACAGATGCTATTATAAAACCAAGTATAGTTGAAATTGATGGGAAGTGAGTCACTTTCACTGACTGGAAGAACTTTAACTTGATTCTTCCAGTCTCCCAACTCAAGAACATTGTGTTCAGACAGCCTTTGTAGTGTTTTAAGTGTTCAGACAAAACCGTAGCCTCTCTATTGAAGTGGTTACCTTAAAGAAGCTTTAAAAGCTTTTCTAGTTAACTTATGAAAAAAAAAAAACACCAACAAACAAATATACTCTGACTGCATTATATTCAGAGTAGCTGAAATCACAAACTTTGTAAACTTGCCCTGATGAGTGAGAGTAACCCTTAACTGGAAAAGTTACTTATATGTGATGTGGAAAACATTGCATTTTTTTTAGGAGACGGAAGTAGTAAGACTTGTACTTGAATTCTAGCTCCTTCCTGGCGCCAAGAAGCTGCAGTACTTAATTTCAAACCTCCTGGGACCTGTTTCTCAGCCCCTTGGGAGGAGCAGGGAGAGCTTACTCTTCAAGTGTGTGGTTATACAACTTGATGCTTTTATGAGTGAAGTGGATGTAGCTTGTTGTATCCTTTGACTAATGGTAATAAGTGTCCTTCCAGGTGACTGCAGAAGTCTTAGTATAAATTGTGGATTTTTGAAGTTGGGAAGCATGTCAGCTAGCCATGTAATTTAATTGACCTATTCTTCCTGGGGTGGAAAGCTAGGGGCTGTGGGTGTTTTTTCTACTCTGTGACCTCTCAGAGAAGAGAATTCTGATCCATTTGTTGAACTTGCATGGAATCAAAAGAGACAAGTTGGTAGGGAATATACTTTGATAAAACAGAAGCTGTATTTTGAATCCACTTCGCATTACTTTTTTTTTTTTCTTTTGAAGGTAATGTAAAATAAATTTGTCACCAGAGCTTGGGGTGTACTAGGTTTGTCACGTAAACAGACTGTGGTTTATTAGAGCGTAACTAGTTGCAAAAATATTCTTCTGCGTTGGAAAGCATGTGGAATACGTGAGGCATATTACAAAGAGGGAAAAGTTGGTCTGTCTCTAGGAGGAAGTGGATTAAAATATACAATGTGGAATGTTGAAAGGTCAAGTCAAAGCACAGACGAAGAAAAGAATACAAAATGGAGTGTGACACTTGTGCATAAAGCATGCAGCAAGTTATTTTCGTTTTTAAAAAATGCTTTGCAGAGTTCAGGTGTTGAATTTGGAAGGAATTGGGACTTCATAGTGCTAGACTTAGGAATTTTTCTTTGAAATGAGCTCTTGTTCTGCAAATGCAAATAGCAGAAGTGACATGATACACACCGATTAGTGGGTGCAGCATCACAGGCAGATCTGTCGCAATTTCAGAGGTTAAATTCTTTGCTTTATTAGACTTTTTGTATATCACAGTAGCAGGGGTGCCTTGTTCTCTGAAGATGTTGAATAATCTTGTCTTCCACTGCATAGGAAACTGCAATTTCTAAAGCATGAGCTTAATACTGTAATATCAGTAAAAGTACCACTGCTCTAGCTTTTGCTTTGATGTCCTGCCTAGAAAAGGTAGTTGTATCACATTCCTTCCCCTGTCTCTATCATGAAGTGTAAAGGTTCCTTGAGATCTTCATCACAAAGTTGACTTTTATTCCAGAGGCTAGACCAGTGTAGTGTGCATACACAGTAGCAGAGGAGTGTTTTTATCTTGGCCATCTAATCTGTAGCTAGTCAAAAGCAGAAACTAAACTAGTTTATCTAAACTTGGACAGCACAAGATTAATGCTTAAACTTGCTTGCAGGAGTTGAAAACAGGTTTCTGTTGCCATTAGTTGGTTGGAAGGGAAAACAGAGATGACGCTATTTTTGGATATGCAAAACAGTTTTGATTTTATTTCTTGCAAACTATAGGACTCCAAGCCCCCTGATACTTGATCAGAACTACATAAACACCAAAAATCAAGTAATCAAAGCAGAAAGGAGGGTACTGAAGGAGTTGGGATTTTGTGTTCATGTCAAGCATCCGCATAAGGTGAGTTATTAGAAATAATGTAATTGCAAATATTGTCCTACCTTGATGACATCATTGCCAGCTGTGGGATGAGAAACACAGGTGTAAAAATTACCTGATTTCTTCTCTTTATTTCTTAATAGTTATCATGAATGCTTTTGCCAGAGTGCTTGGGCAAATAGTCGTATTGACTTTGGTACAAATTGCTTCCTTTGGGAATGTTGAAGGTGGCTAGTTTTGAAAATCATAGAAAACTAATAATTATCTGAACATGGTTGGATGACATAGAATCATATGGGGTTGGAAGGGACTTCTGAAGATCATCTGGTCCAACCCCCCAGCCAAAACGGGTCCACCTATAGCAGGTTGCACAGGAACTTGTCCAGGCGGGTTTTGAATGTCTCCAGAGGAGACCACCACTTCCCTGGGCAGCCTGTTCCAGTGCATGTCTTGTTCCAGAGGTGTGAGCTTGCAGTGTATGCTTAGAAAAGGAGGAGATACCATTGTTCTGGAATACTGTTTGATTATACGTAGTTACTTTCTTACTGTTGCTTTATATGTTAAAACTAAGAGTTGTGTGTTTTGTTTTTTTTTTCCCCCCCACTTATTCTTCAGATCATTGTTATGTATTTACAAGTCCTAGAATGTGAGCGTAATCAAACCCTGGTACAGACAGCCTGGTAAGTTGTTATTTTCCATTCTTTTCCTAGCCAGGAAAATAGTAGCAGAAATAACAAGCCTGATGATCCATATGACAAAGCAATGAGATGTAAGTTATTACACAAATACATATTTTAAAATATTTTAGTGCTTGTTTCTGCTTACTATTTTCATGGCTTGATTCCAGTATAGTAATGGAGAACTCAATTTAACTTTGTTCTTTTTTCTACTCTTTAATTAAAGGGTAGTCCATGATGGTAAGTCATAGAGCTCTGCCCTCTGCACCTCAGCCCATGACCTGGGGATGGCCTGTTTGGCTGCCCTTCTCTCCAGCCAACCCAGTGCAAGCTCATCCGAGATTCACTGAAGTGGTCCATATCCATCGGGCAGCATCTTCTAGTTCTGTCTGGGTGTCAAAAGGATTTGTATATTTGCTTTTAGAAGTAACTGTTAAAAATGTTTCTAAATGTTTTTGTTGCCTAGCTGCTGTATACTGTAGTGTATTTAAAGGACACACGGGGTAGACTTTCTGCCGACATTCATTTAGTTGATTTAGCGTTTGGCTAAACTTGAGTTTAAAAAAAAAAAAATATAAAAATGACAGTGCATGCAGCATGTTCACTTAAAAGCCATATTGGGCATGGTTTTCTGTAGAGTCAATACTTACTGACTGCTGTTCGTTTCTTTCCTGTAGCTCAGTAACTTAGAAATCGATGGAGGTCTCTGCTGTTTAAATGTATCTCTTGGCATGTGTTGCTTGGCAGTGCCACCATGGTGGACCATAGTGAAGTGCGAGACCCGTTACTAACTTACAGGTCTTTTTCCAACACTCTGAGCAAATGGGATGCTTCTCTCTCTGGATGAAGTTAATGTGACTCGAGGCACACGTAGGATTTAAATGCAGTGTTTTATGAATTTTATAGGTTGCATCTAGCCTCTGGAAAATGGTAGGTTAAAAATATACCATGCTTATGCTTGTATTTGAGTTTTAAGCATATTGATTTTTGAATACAAGAACATTGGTGTTTAAAGCAAACAGCTGGACAGATGAAAAGTACTTTTTAGACTGTTAACTCAGTGGACACTTCATGGTGTAACTTACTGTGCCTACCTAGGAAGTAGCCATTACATACTACTACTTGCATTGGGGTTTCAAAACAATGGCAGGGGTGCAAACTTTGGTACAGAAGTAACAAATGTAAACATTAAATGCAATAATTGGAAAGAAACCAAGTTTTTAATATAATTACAGAAAAAATAATAAAGTCAATTGAGTCTCCAGTATTGTTATCCTCTAAATAAGAATATGTAAACCTGAGATCCAACCTTTCATAATTTTTTTTTTTTAAGGAATTACATGAATGACAGCCTTCGAACAAACGTGTTTGTTCGCTTCCAGCCAGAGACGATAGCATGTGCTTGCATTTATCTTGCTGCTAGAGCACTGCAGGTGAGTATTCCTGTGTCTTTAGTTAGCATTCCCTTTTACTGCTAGTAATTTAGTTTCAAGAAAATTAATAAATAATATTTGAAATGAAAGCCTGGCCTGTAACCCCTCTTACTAAGCTTTTGGTTGTTTTATTTTCAGATTCCACTGCCTACCCGTCCTCACTGGTTCTTGCTCTTTGGCACCACAGAAGAGGAGATTCAGGAGATATGTTTAACAACTCTTAAGCTCTATACCAGAAAGAAGGTAACTTTGAGACCTTTCTTTTTCCTATGCAGTTCAGCTTGAGCTGTGTCATGGTTGTCCAAGTGTGTTTGGAGCCCCTGTGCACACATTTACTAATTGGAAAGGCTTTGCTGTGTGGCTTCTCTAAGGGAAGTGTGAGAACAAGTCATGGAAGTTAGTCACATTACTGGACCTACGAGTAAAAGATTATGGAGTATTTTTCAGAAATTAGATTAAAATATGAATTATGTTAGTTCAACTTCTTACTGCATTGTTACTTTAACAGCCCAATTATGAATTCTTGGATAAAGAAGTAGAAAAGAGGAAAATGGCACTACAGGAAGCTAAACTGAAGGCAAAAGGCTTAAATCCTGATGGAACTCCAGCACTCTCAACACTGGGTGGCTTTTCTCCTGCCTCCAAACCATGTAAGTGTTCTCTGAATGGCAGCTTGCATTGCAGTATTTGATAAGTCATCTTAATCTGTGTCCCAAGGTGTTAAAAAAAAAAAAGAAGTAGGTTTGCTTCTTGAGATGTGAGATAATTAAGGTTTTCTCACAGAAGCAAAACAAATGTTTTTAAAAAAGACAAATTTTAAAATCAATGTCAATACCTTGAAATAGCAGATTAGAGGGAAATGGGATGCTTTATTTCATACTTCCACAGATGGGAGAGTGATACATTAATAACAGGCACCCTTGAGATAATTATATTATGAAAATGTCTACACCCAACAGTTTTTATATTACTGTGTTGTGAAGAGAGACCCTCTGTTTTTAATCTGTTAGGAGGGGTGTCACAGTAGCCTTCATGGTTCCTTTTGCAGCAGGTATTTCTGAAAATTGCTTTCTCTGCCTTTTTTTTTTTTTAATGTAGTTGTCAACTGTGCAAGTGCAGTGAAGGAAGACAGCTTGTGGTCAGGAAATGGAGAAGGGAAGGTCACAGCGCTGTCTTGGCGTTAGGGTGAACAAATTGTTGTCATGCATATCCTGAACCAGCCAATAAATCTGTCTGAACTCTAATGATACAAAGAGCAGTCAGTTTTATCTTGGTGCGTTTACCTCTTAACGCTGCTAGTGATCTGTAAACTACCAACAAAATTTAAAGCTGTGATGACCATTGGTCCAGTGATGATGGGTAAAGCACAGGCCCTTCTGCCTTCCTGGAGTTTTAGAGGAAGCTGCAGGGTAAGTCCTAACGCAGCACCTCTGCCTTAACTTCCAGTAGCCAGGTAGAAATGCATCACTTGTGCTTAGCAGCCCGTCCACGAGAAGGTGAATCCATCTCTGGGCTGTATGGGCTCTCTGTAGAGACAGATTGACTTCTCAACTGAAGAAGTGGGGGTTTTATATTAGTGGTACAAATATTACAGAAATTAAGTAGGTAATTTTGCTGTTCAGTCTTAATTCTTTCTATAGTATTGGAAATTAACTCTCAAGGTAACAATTTAAGTTACATACTCGTGGGTCACAAGGGCAGCTTTTATTTTGTACCACTTGGTCCCTGGTGGGTGAAACCTCAAAGGAGCCTGGCTGCTTGCCTTGAAGGTCACAGTGTTCTTCTCCCCTCCCACCGGCTGCTGGCTTTGAACTGTGCATCGCCCTGGGAGCATCTCACTCCAGTGCTCTCCTCTAGGAGTGTGCTGCAAATGGAAAGATGGAATGAGTTCATATTTACATCTTGTTCCAATGCTGGTAAAGGTGTATAATGGATACAATATGTCTACTACAGAGAGTAAATAAAATATCTAATTTTGAATTTAAATTTAATTCTTAGCTTCCCCAAGAGAAGTAAAAACTGAAGAGAAGTCTCCAGTATCTCTGAATACCAAAACTGTTAAAAAAGAGCCAGAAGAGAGGCAGCAGGCTTCCAAGAGCCCTTACAACGGGTAGGTAACAATCTCTTCCTGGTGAAGAGAAGACTTCTGTAAAAGCGGTTTCTTCAACTGGAGTGGACTACTTCTGAGCTACTTCATGGCAGTAACGAGTACCTCAGAAGTGTAACCCTGTCCTTGTTTGTTTTTCCTCCCAAGCATGAGAAAAGAAAGCAAGAGAAGCAGGAGCAGCAGAAGTGCCAGTCGGTCCAGGTCGAGAACAAAGTCACGGTCTCGGTCTCACACACCCAGGCGGCAGTAAGTACCGGGTTTCTGTTTGGTCAGTGGGGGTTTGCAGGGGTTTTTGGCAACGTTGTCTTTTTCATCATAAATAGCATTTCAGCAGGGCTTTTCAGTGCTAAGAAGTGGGGTCACTCCAAGAAGCTTCTAAGTGCTTAGTGCAGGCTTCTACCCGCTGGCCAGCAGAGGTGTGAGATGTGGGTTCTCCATTCTTGACATGAAGCAGTTCTGTTGGTAACACCCGTTAATAGTTGAAACTGTAAAAGCTTTGGTGTTACATGAAAGCTTAATGGTATCCTTACCCTGCCTGTGCGTGGTGAGCGAGTGCAAGGTAGTCATACCCTCTCGGATGATGTTGACAATGAATCCGTTACAAATGGGAGCAGTCTCTGGGAACTTGGTCCGCTTTGAAGTGGTGAGAAGTGTCACAGGTGCCAGTTTCAGGTGTTGCAGCTCTTCCAATGCCTGGCAGAATGGATCTTCTGCCGGTGGTGCATGAGGCACTGTCTGGCTCTTCAGTACCCTGACTGGGGAGGAGGGGGAACTGTGCAGGGTGATGCAGTCATAGCTGCTGGTGGGTTATATAGAGATATTTATTTTTTTTAAAGAATCTTCAGACTGATATCTAAGTTGGAAAATGCCAACCTGGTTCTCATTGCGGTGTTCCCATGAGTACTGTTGACTGTTGGGTCATTGAAGGAAAAAAAGCAATAACCAATTTGCAATCTGAGGTTGAGGGGAAGATTCTTGACAGAATCTTCTGTGAAAGGTGCTGCATTTGGGCTTTTTGTTTTCAAAGGAACGTTCTGGGAAGGTCACTGTCATTCATCAGTTATCTTGTGGGAGAGAGAGTTTCTGGTTTCTTCCAGTAACTTAAAAGTTCCTAAGCATTGGTTTATTTTTTTTAATTATTATTTATTTTCTTCTGCGTGGAAGAAATGTTTTAACTTGTAACACTTGTGTGTAAGCTACAATAATAGGCGGAGCCTGTCTGGGACGTACAGCTCCCGGTCGAGAAGCCGGTCGCGCAGCCACAGCGGCAGCCCTCGCCGACACCACAACCACGGCTCCCCGCACCTGAAGGCCAAGCACAGCCGGGAGGAGCTGAAGAGCGCCAATAGACACGGTCACAAAAGGAAAAAATCTCGTTCGCGTTCGCAGAGCAAATCCCGGGATCATTCCGAGGCTGCCAAGAAGCACAGGCACGAGCGGGGACACCACAGGGACAGGCGGGAGAGGTCCCGCTCCTTCGAGAGGTCTCACAAGGGCAAGCACCACGGCAGCGGCCGCTCGGGACACGGCAGGCACCGGCGCTGAGGTTTGCTCCTGCCCCGGGCTCTGGCTAAGCCTGTACATACCACAGTAAATGGACTCTTTCTTTGAGAACAATGGAACCGATTAGGATTTGATTAATTTAAACCCAATATCTAATTTTTCTAAAACGTGTAGAAGATTTCTTTTTTTTTTTCTTTTGGGAAAGAAACTGTTACCAACTTTTGCACATAATACCTTAGCAGTATCAGATTGGTGGGAAACAACGATCAGGTTAAATTGTATGTATTAGGGTTGTGTATTGTTTATTGATATAAGAACTGGAGAATGGATTTCTGTAAAAAGGCAAAATGTACCTTATTTTTATACAAGTCAATTGCAGACACTTATATTTAAGTATAGTTATTTGTTTAAACGATGGTGGATACTTTCTTACACTGGTTTTAGTCTGCATGTGTTAAAAGATTTTTACAAGAAATAAAATATAAAGCTTTTTTTTTTTACTGCCTGTTGGGTCTCACATATATTGAAACTGAAGTTACTTTTCTGAAATGCCATCACTTTGGGTGTTGCAGGTTGATGGGATGTGTGGGATATTGATGTGATACCATGGCAAATGAGAGACTGGGAAAGCTTTATAAGCTGTTGTCCTTCTGAGAGAAGACTGGGAAGCCTGGGCCATGCTGGGGTTTGGGAGAAACGAGCAGGGACCTCTCTGAAGTTTGGTGGGATGAGCAGCTGAGGTGGGGAAGCTGAAGGAGCTGTGAAGGGCTGCTGGTGCCCAGCTTTCCTGTCGCTGCCCCTGGGGAGGGGCAGTAGGGTCTCTCCTGCAGCTGCTGGCAGCTGCCAGCAAGTCACTGTCACCTGCTGTTCTCCTTTGGCCTGCAGAGCCCTCCTGCTGCAGCTGGGTGGAGGGTGACAGTGACAGCTCGGGGACACTGGGGTGTGCTGCCCTGCTGAAGGCAGGTCGGTTTGCTGCTGGGGGGAGTCTTGGCCCCTGGCTGCTGGAGGAGGAAGAGTCAGATCTCGTTCCTTCAAGCTGGGGGTTCAGTTGGGGAGCTGGAAAGGGACCTGGTGTCCTGTGCTGCTGCAGGAGCAAGTTCTAGCCTCTGCTGGGCAACAAATTCTGCACATCTCAAAAGGGAAAGGAAAAAAAAAAATGTGGTTGAGCGAAAGCTTCACTGGAAATGGCAGGTTCTCGTCAGCAGCCAGGCAGCATCCTGCCAGCCCTTGGCTGCAGCTCTTCTCTAGAAATGCAAAACGTATGTTTTTGTGAAAAGAGGGGAAAAATACACAGCTTCCTCTGTTCTCTTGGTTACCTCTATGTTGTTTTTTAATCTGTAGTAACTGTATTTCATGTGTTTGTTGCTTTCAGGAAAAATCACCTGTTGCTATGGAAATTGAAGTAACTTTTTTTCCCCTAGATACAAGCATTTTAGATCATTTAGGGCAGTGTTAAAAACCTGGTTTTGAAGTAGGAGCACAACTGGCTGGAGCTCTGTCAGAGTTTGTGTGTCGGAGTCAGGCAGGAGGAGGGCCTGGCCCTTGTGTTTGTGTTAATGTGTAAGTGCTAATTACCCTTCTGTGCTTCTAGTGCCCCTCGCTCCAGCGCTGAAGAGCAGAAGTTGACTTCCACGGTGATGTTGGATGTCCAGACACCATCTGCTACAGATTGCCCTCAGCAAGGAGGTTAGTGTTTGGTCTTGCGGGGGGAAAAAAGATGTCTTCAACCAGCTGTAGGGATGGTGGCCTCAACCATGCAATGCCCTGGCCAATGGCAGGCTGTAGAACAACGCAGCAGGTCTCTCTGGAAGCTCAAGTTGGGTCAGTGCTGTGGAGAAGAGATGTGCTGGGGCTCTGAGTGACAAGAAGGACAAATTGGGTGGTGGCCTGTGGTCCTTAGAGGGGGTGGAGCAGTCTGAGCAGGATGGTGGTCCTGAATGGCTGTTACCATGGTATTGTCCCGTTACCTGGAGGACTTGCTTGCCCAGAAGCCACCTTCTTGGCAGCAGTTGAATACTGATGTCCATGACAGTGTGGTTACAGCTGGTGGCCAGGCTGCACCCGAGAGCCAGCTGGGGCTGCAGGGCCATAGCTGAGCAAGAGCTGCCCCTCTTCTGCCTCACCCCATGGCCACACTGTGAATAAGGATGTGTTCATTAAACTCCAAATCACAAAAATTAATCACTTGAGAGGACTCTTTGATCTTCAAGCATCTCTAGCAACCTCCAGGAGTCACCTGAGGATACACTGACAAATCTCAGTAGTTGAGAAGTATTTTTCTTTAATGCTTGTTATTTTTAAATTCTTTGGTGTCTTCCACGTGCTTGAGTCACTTACGGAAACGCTTCATCAGCAGAAACTTATCTCTGAAGGATGTGGTGGCTTTGGTGACCCACCGTTGACATCCCAGTGCAGAAGAGCCCAAGGCAGCGGTGCCTCTGTGGGTGGAAACAGCGGAGGGAGGCGTTTGAGAAGCGCGACGGGGTTGTGAGTTCCTGCACTGAAACTGTGTTTCTGACCGAGCTCGCTGTCATCTCTGCAGGCTTTATCCTCACAGCGGTGTGTGACACGCGTTCAGACATCTACCCCTCAGACCGGAAATGGTGTTTATGGTAGAACTGGTAGAACTAAGGCTCTGCTGCAGCGCTGTTCCCCACTGGAACCCCAGGGGTTGGTGGGGATGCAGTGGCTTCCCCTGCTTGGGCTGCACCCCAGTATGGCACGCGTTTCCCTCTGCCCCATCCCTTTTTCACAGAATTGTAGGGGCTGGAAGGGACCTTCGGTGTTCATCTAGTCCAACATCTCTGCCAAAGCAGGTTCACCCAGAGCAGGTTGGACAGGAACGCATCCAGGTGGGTTTTGGGTATCTCCAGAGAAGAAGACTCCACACCCTTTTCTGGGCAGCCTGTTCCAGTGCTCTGCCACCCTCAAAGTAAAGTTCCTCCTCATGTTCATACGGAACTTCATATGTTCCAGTTTGTGCCCGTTGCCCCTTGTCCTGTTGCTGGGCACCACTGAAGAGTTTGGCCTCATCCTCTTGGCACCCACCCTTTAGATATTGATAAGCATTGATGAGATCCCCTCTCAGTCTTCTCTTCTCCAGGCTAAACAGACCCAGGTTTCTCAGCCTTTCCTCATGACAGATGCTCCAGTCCCCTCATCATCTTTGTAGCCTCTGCTGGACCCTCTTCAGTAGTTCCCCCTGCTCCACTTGCTGTGCTGCTTCTCTCACCAGCAGGGATGGAAGCGTGGGGATGCCAGAACCCGTGCTGGAGCGTGCAGATGAAGCGCAAAGGAAGATATTTTGGTCCTTCCTCTCCGTCTTTCCAGCGTTTTCAGCGATGGCCAGCTCCGGGGCAGGGAGGAAGGTTGCTGGGGCTGCATCATCGAACCCAGATGGCCACAGGCAAATGTTTGCTTAACGCCGACAGGGCGGACGCCGTCCTGGGGAGGTGGCAGATGGCAGCTGGGGAGAAGCGGGAACAGGAGCCACGCATCGCCCCGAGCCGCAGCCCCGCGGCTTGGACACGGCCCAAAACAACCTGCTCTGAGAGCAAGCAGCTGGGAAAAGCTGGGGCAGCACGGTCTGAGCGAAAGGAAACCACGGGAGTCCGTGGGCAAACAAAGCAGGGTGTTGAGAGGAGCTTGGCAGGTCGGATCTTGGGGATGGTGGCACCTGCCAGCATCTGGGGCCAAGCACGGCACCCACAGCGCCTGCCCTGCTGCAGTTTCTTGGGAAATACAGAGTATTCCTGCATCTCCTGGAGCTGCAGCTGCTATTAGAAATGCTGCGATGGAAATCAGGTGCTGCCACTCAACTTTGAAGACCCGAGACCCTGAGTTCCCACAGCACCTGGTGGGAAATGTTCCTGGTCAGTTCTCCTCAGGTGCTGGGGTTTGGCAGACTTGGTCTTGCCCTCAGAGTTGCTTTTCCTCAGGAAAATGGTTTTGCTAAAATCTTTTTGGCCAAGTTTTCAACAAAATGATGCAAATATTTCAAGTGAGTAAATTCAAACTGTTGTGACTGTCCTTCACTTTCAGCTTTGTTGCAGACGGTCGATGGGTACACACGGACCAAAAGCTTTGGATGGCTTGGGGAGACAAAAAATTGTGAACAATCCAAGGATGCTCTTGGTGGAAATTGTCCCAAGAAGTATTGATCAGGGCTTTAGCTGCCCCCAAATCCCAGAGGTTAGGAGCAGCAGGAACAGCAGATCATGCCTTGTGCACTGCTGATAATGATAAGGATCCCTTTTCTGGGAAATCTTTCCCAGGTCCCTTCTCCTGCCAGGAAATGGTCGTGAAATCTGTGGTTTCACATCAGCCCCATCCGTGAGCTGCCAAGTCTGTGGCTCTTCTGTCTGTGCTCCTTGTTTCTCCCCCCTCCAAGGCACAGGCTGGTTGTTTGCAAGCTCTTTGGGGCAGGACCTGAACCTGCGGCCGCCCCGTGCCCTGCGCCCCCCTCTCTGCTGCCGTGCGCGGGTGTTGTCTCAGCAAAGCACCAGCAATTACACCCTGCTTAGGGAAAAAACACTTCTGGAAAGGAAACAGCTTTCCATTCCCATCTCCTGCCTGGCCACACACCAGCAGGGCATTTCGAGAAAAAAAAAAAAAAAAAAAAAAAATCTTTCCCAGGTCCCTTCTCCTGCCAGGAAATGGTCGTGAAATCTGTGGTTTCACATCAGCCCCATCCGTGAGCTGCCAAGTCTGTGGCTCTTCTGTCTGTGCTCCTTGTTTCTCCCCCCTCCAAGGCACAGGCTGGTTGTTTGCAAGCTCTTTGGGGCAGGACCTGAACCTGCGGCCGCCCCGTGCCCTGCGCCCCCCTCTCTGCTGCCGTGCGCGGGTGTTGTCTCAGCAAAGCACCAGCAATTACACCCTGCTTAGGGAAAAAACACTTCTGGAAAGGAAACAGCTTTCCATTCCCATCTCCTGCCTGGCCACACGCCAGCAGGGCATTTCGAGAAAAAAAAAAAAAAAAAGAAGTTAAAATTAGAAAAGCTGGCCTGAAAAAATATATCTTTATATTCCAGTAGAAGGAAAAAAGTGGCAGAAATTACCATTTTTGTCCCAGGAAATAGAATCCCTCTTCTCAGCTTCGCTGGAGAGGACAAGGGGCTCACAAGCCCCTGTGCAGAAGTCCTCTGGCTTGCCCTGGTCCCCCAAAGCAGCCCCCCTGCCCATCTGGGCTGCCCCCCAGGACGCACCCGTCGGCTCCCCGGGCTGCTGCCGGCTGCGCCCGCTGCCGTTCTGGGTTTTATTCTGTAGGTGGAAGTATTGCAAAGCGGACACGAGCCTCCCCGGGCGTGCACACACTCACGCATGCCTGCACACGTACACACACACACACACACACACACACAGCTGGGCTGGGCTGGTGCCACTCACCACACCAAACAGAGCAGAGGAAGAGGAGGGGATGGTGCTGATGGGTGGGCAGCCTTGAGGGAGGGCATCCCCCACCAGAGGTGTGATGTACCCCAGTATCAACCAGCTTAAAAGCCAGTG